TATATATATATATATATATATAATTACAAACTTGCTCCACTTCCTCAATCTCGTTTATAGCTAATCCACGATTTTTTTTTATATCTACATATCACTATTTCTATTAATTCACCGAATTTCGTTGGATTTTTTTTTTGTGAGTAATTTCTTTTTTTTTCCTTAGCAAAAAGAAGAAGCTTTGTTTCGTTGGGTGTGGGGAATAAAAAGCATATTAAAATAGAACGTTAGATATCATCGCAATTAAAAGCACTAACGTAATGCGATAATAAATAAACGATAAATATATATAGGGAATGGACCTTTCTTTTGTAATGGAACTGTTATTTTGTCCCAAGAAAGCCGCTTTTAATATCAAAAGATTATATATGTAAAGTATGTGCCTTTCTTTGTGTTTTTTTTTATATATGCGTTTTCATGGGAATATATATTATATATTTAACAAAAATCAGTGTCACAGTGAGAGAAAGAACAGCGACGTCCTCTTTGAAACTTTTGGTTTTGACTTTTGACCCAAAAAATTAAAAATTAAAAATTAAAAATAAATAAATAAATGAAAATAGAAAAGGAGAGGAAAGAAAGAGCGCACCTTCCTTCCTCCTCTCTTACCTTTAAAGGAGCCTTCGTCTTTCGCTTCTTCTCTAAAAACCCACTCATTTCCACTTCAGCTTCAGCTTAATCTCCAGATCGTATCGATCCTTACAAAGTTTCTGGCTTTCGTATTGATCTGTGGCTGCAACTTATTTCTAGGTATGTGGGATTTCTTCTCTGTTCCCCTTTGATCTCGCTTCGTTTCCGTTGTAGCGATTTTGGTTTGAAAGTGGTCTGGCTATTTTTTACGAAGATTGATTGATTCTTCGGGGCTTTGGGTTGGTGGGTTTTCGGTTTCTTGAGCTGAAATTTTGAAACTTTCATGGGTTCTTCGCTTGATCTTTGACCCTGTCTTTGAAACTTCTTTTTTTTTTTTGTCTTTGTGGAATTGAAACGGTCTCTTGCTTGTAGTGGTGGAAAACTATTAATTAGTTGTTCGTATTTGCTTAAACTGGCGCATCAGAATGCTAGAAATGTTTAAGGGATGAGAAGAGAATTTGAAATCCGAGTTCCATTACGTTTTCTTTATTTCTAAATTCGTGAACCGGGTCATATTTGTTGGTGCCTGTGTAAAGAATATTTCTTTCGGGGGGCTTTCCGGTGGGTTGTTGTGGATTTCTGAGTTGTTTTCTCGCAGTTTCTCATCAACCAAACAGAGACTTCTTTCGCGTTATTTCTTAAATTCCGAATCGGCCCACGAGTTTTTCTTAATCGATCTTGAATCCGCAGGGCTTGCTCGGCATGTGCAGCGGCTCAAAGAGCAAACTTTTCTCTCCGGAAACCCTAACGGAAGGTGAACTCAGGAGGCAGAAAGAACAAGCCATGTCGGGATTGCTCGAATTCGCTGCCTGCGATGATCTTACAGCCTTCAGGAGGGAGGTCGAAGAGAAGGGGCTTGGCGTGGACGAGTCAGGCTTCTGGTATTGCAGAAGGGTCGGGTCCAATAAGATGGGGTTCGAAGAGAGGACCCCTCTCATGGTTGCCGCCATGTATGGCAGTACTGAGATTCTGAAGTATATAATCTCCACAGGCAAAGCCGATGTGAACAGAGTTTGCGGCCAAGAGAGGGTCACTGCCCTTCACTGTGCTGTTGCTGGCTGCGCCTGGTCAGTGGTTGAGGTCATCAAGATCTTGCTCGATGCCTCTGCTGTCTCCAACTGCGTTGATGCTAATGGGAACAAGCCCTCGGACCTGGTCGCTCTTTTTTCGAGGTTCGTGACCACACCGAAACGAAAAGCTGTGGAATTGTTGCTGAGAGGCGGTGTCGGGTCGGCTAGTTTGGTTGATTATGTCCTTAGCCAGGAGAAAGATGGGGAAGACTCCAAGAGTTTGGCTACTCCGACGACAAAATATCCGGCCGATGCGTCTCTTCCGGACATCAACCAAGGGATATACGGAACAGATGAGTTCAGGATGTACAGTTTCAAGGTTAAGCCTTGCTCCAGGGCTTACTCCCATGATTGGACCGAGTGCCCGTTTGTTCACCCGGGCGAGAACGCGAGGAGACGGGACCCGAGGAAGTATCCTTACACATGTGTTCCCTGTCCCGAGTTTCGTAAAGGGTCATGTCCCAAGGGAGATTCCTGTGAGTACGCGCATGGTGTTTTTGAGTCATGGCTTCACCCGGCACAGTACAAAACTAGGCTTTGCAAGGACGAAACGGGTTGTGCCCGTAAAGTTTGCTTCTTTGCCCACAAACCCGAGGAGTTACGGCCCGTTAACGCGTCCACCGGTTCGGCCATGTTTTCACCGAGGTCTAACTGTTCTCAGACTCCGGTTAGCAGCATGGATATGTCGGTTATGTCTCCGCTGACCCTCGGTTCATCATCAGCTCTGTCATATTCCTCGAGTGTTTCTACGCCACCGATTTCTCCACTGAACTGCAATGGGGGCTCTTTGTCTCCAAGAAACGGAGGGTTATGGCAGAACAGAGTTAACAACCTTAATGTAAACGTTACTCCTCCAGCTTTGCAGCTTCCGAGTAGCCGATTGAAATCCGCTTTGAATGCCCGTGATTTCGATATCGAGATGGAATTGAGGCTTCTCGGTTTGGATAACCAGAATGGCCAAATGGGTTTTGGGTCATTCGATTCTTTCTCTTCCTCCATGGCTTCTCCACGGCAACAGAGCTTATCCTCTTCAACTCTATCACAGTTGCAATCTCCAAGCCGGATTTCTCAGATCAGCCAAAACATGAGCTACCACCCATCTTCACCTGCGAGAAAATCTCAACAACCCGCTCCAGGATTCGACACGTCGGCAGCTGTGGCAGCCGCGGTGATGAACTCGAGATCCTCGGCCTTTGCAAAACGCAGCATGAGCTTCAAACCGACCGCTCCCTCGTCAAATCTCTCTGACTGGGGCTCCCCGAATGGAAAGCTCGAGTGGGGAATGCAGGTCGGAGACGAGCTGAACAAGCTGAGACGGAGCGTCTCCTTTGGCATCCGAGGGAACAGCCCCTCGGTCCACATGCCGGCCACCGCGAGGGACTACAGTGACGAGCCAGACGTCTCGTGGGTAAACTCTCTTGTGAAAGACAGCGCGGTGGACGGAGCCAGGCAGCTGGATGGGCAGCCGAGGAGCGACTCGGTGGCGTGGGAGAAGGTTCCGTCATGGGCGGAGCAAATGTACAGAGAGCATGAACAGATCGTGGCTTAGGGCAAAAGCCGCTGGTTTTTGCTCGGCCATTTCTCTAACAGATTTGGCAAAATTATATTCTTTGATTTGTCTTAAGCTAGTTGTTTAATATATGGTTTCTAGTTTATTGACGCCGGAGAAAGAAGGAAAATGGATCAAATAACTTAGTTTTCTGTATTCTTTGCTTCTTCTTTTTTCTGTTCTTTTCAGTTCTGTGACTTTCTTAAACGATGTAATGTGAAAAGCGAATAATTGATATATATTAAGATAAGTTGGATCCATTTTGTCTCTTATGTCTTTTTTTTTGCAACCTTGACTGCGTGTACTGAAACGAATGTCACAAGTTGCAGAGGGGGGTTTTGTGCACCTTTTAAAAGTTTTAGACATTATTGGTATTTCTAGGGATTAATGAGGGGTTGCAGCCGTAAAAACGAGAAGAATGGCTGCGTCTTTGTCTTATTGGGCTTGATAAGTGTATTGGGCTATGGAAAGCCCAAATACTTAAATACACGTTTTCGGAACTGTAATTTGGGCTTCTATGGATTTGATTGCTCCGAGTTCTCAAATGACTGCTTCTAATTCCAGGCACACATTTTAAAATAAATTTAAAATTAAAATTACCACGTCAACTAAAAAAAAAAAAAGTTATTTCAGTATTTTTTTTAGCTTTTCAATTTTAATTTAAAATTTAAAATTTTATATTATACACCTCTCCTCTACCGTAAAAGGCTTTACCAAAACTTTTACCAATCGACATTAGAACTTGAAACTCATGTTAGCGTCCTAATGCGATTGATTAAATCACGTATTTGAGAGATATAAATACCATACTTTAAAACTAGTACTACATGTGTATATATATATATACATACATGGTACGTGTGTTGTGCTAAGAGACGACCAATTATTACACACGTGGGGAACTTCAAGAAGAATAAATAAATAATCAGAAACGCATAATGGATGTCGATATATACATATGCAATATGTATGGATAGTAGTACGTATAGTTGCTTTGACTTGGGGTAAAAGCGATGATTCGAATACGGAGCTAACATCTGAAGAAAAATGGGGTCGGTCCAATTGTAAGTACACGACATCCATACGTACGGTTGGTGGTGCACTATTGCTACATTGGGATTCCTTAGCCTTTACTTTTCTCTAATATAAAATTTCTCAAATCATTTTCCTTTTCTTTAAAACAAAAATTGGGTTTGATAAATATTTTGTTGTGGTATCTCTTAACGAGAAAGGATGCGTCAACCTCCCCACATGGTGATGGACGCATACTTGTTTATTAATTTGTATTATGGGATTAGTTATTATGATTACAAATTTTAGATTTTTACAATAATTTTTTATATATATGATTTGAATTGAATTAATTTGGTTATAGATAAGATGTATTTTGAGTATGTTTAGATATTATTTGATTCGTTTTTTTTATTAGTAAGTAAGCATGTTCGTCATAATGTTGAAAAGTGTGATTAACTCTTTAATTAGTTGAAAAGTGTGTTTAACTCTTTAGTTAACTATATCCGCATAATAAAATTAATTGGAAAAAAAATGTGGTGAAGAAGAAAAAGGGATGATGAAAGGTCACAACCACAAAGAATGATATGATCCCACATTATAAAGCTTAAGCCAAATCCCTCAAAATGTTTATGTCTTAGGACCTAATTACATCCCATTATTTACTAATTTTAGTGATAGACAACGATACTTTTAGATAATAAGACCATCAAGAGATGATTCTTATATATACGTGTAAGTGCTCTATCATAATCTTGGTTCTTATTTAATATAACACACACACACACACATATATATATATATATATAATGATTTAGGAAGTGACAATTTGCAGAGAGTGCTGCATTTCACCGAGCATTTGCTGCATTTCACCGAGCATTTGTAGTAATAATAATAATAATAATAATAATAATAATAATAATAATAATAATAATAATAATAATAATAATAATAACAGCAGCAGCATGCTTCTCATATGTGAATTTGGTCCAATAAATTCACCATAATGCGGATGAACTCATGAGCTTGGGAAAACAAAACATATGTCAATCAAATTCGAGTTTTATTACACAAATCCGAATAGTCTACATTCGCTCTTATGTACATACAGAAATAAATAATTCCAAATCGGAAAAAGATTATATCATTGAGATAAAGTAATCACTATTGATATTGATAATATAAAAATTTAAAATAAATATGTAGTTTTTGTAGAATTATTAATCAATAAAAATATAGTTTTAATACATTAAAAAATTCAAATAAAATAGAGAATATAGTATTGTTATATAGACTCTTATTCTTTTCTCTATAATTACTAATAATATCCGGTGGAAAATCTAGATACCATTATAGAGTATTCGGCTAATTTTTTTTTATTGCGTTCGTCATGGAATCTTGTGGACAATGAAGCAGCGTCTACAATGTAGTTAGTAGTCCTTTTCTTTAGGTGGAGATTTAGACAAACTTAAGAAAAAAATAATAATCTTTGAATCCACTCCTTCTTTTTCTCTCCATTTTTATTTGCTATCAACAAACATCAAGAACGATTAGTTAAGCATATGGATTGTAATTAAAAAAAAATTATATTTTAATTAAGAATTAAGGATAAAAAAAGAAAACGATGGAGAGAGTATAAAACAATTTCTGCATCTTTCGCCACCAAGAGGCTTGAAGACCCACCTCACCAAACAATAATAGCATTAACTAATGGTATTAACAATATAATACGAAACCTAATTCGCATTATAATTATAATTATTAATTATTATTATTATTTTCCCGGTAAATCGTTTTCCCTCGTGAACTATCTTTGTTTTTCCTTTCTCTTATATTCCCTTCGATTTCACCTTCCTCGTTATCTCTGAAGCGTACAGACATAAAGAGGTGTGTGGAAGTTTCGTCTGTTTGCTTCAGATGCATCCTTCAAGAAGGAAAGTTCCATTGTTCGACACAGCAGCTGCGATGAAGCAGAGGAAGAACGGAAATCTCTCCATCTTCGTCGTCGTCTTCTCCATCTTCCTCTTCGGCGTTTTCATGTACAACGAGGACGTGAAATCCATAGCCGAGTTCCCGTTCTCGAGCTCCAAGCCCAGCGATCCCCGAGAGAGTCACCAGGAGGCGAAACCGAAAGAGACGATTTTGGTGGATCAAGAATCGGTCAAGAGCACGAACCCAGATCAAGAATCGGTGAAAAACGCAGACCCAATTCAGGAATCGATCAAGAACGACGAGGAAACGACGGTTACGACGACGACATTGAGTGTGGAAGAGCAAACTGAGGATGTTAAGGAGGGGGAAACAGAGGAGGACAAGAAGATAGAAATGGCGGTGGTTCCGGAGGAAGAAGACGACGGAGAGGTGGAGATTCCGCCGGAGGAATGCGATCTCTTCACCGGAGAATGGGTATTCGACAACGAGACTCATCCCCTGTACAGAGAGGACCAGTGCGAGTTTCTGACGGCGCAAGTGACGTGCATGAGAAATGGGAGGAAGGATTCTCTGTATCAGAACTGGAGATGGCAACCCAGAGACTGTTCTCTGCCAAAGTAAGTAACCTTCTCAAAAGATCAAATCTTTCTTTTTGCATCTGGTTCTGGGTTCTGACATGGATTTCTTGTTCCTGTTTGTTCTGTTGGTCGAAGGTTCAAAGCGAGATTGCTGCTGGAGAAGCTAAGAAACAAGAGGTTGATGTTCGTTGGGGATTCACTGAACAGAAACCAGTGGGAATCGATGGTTTGCTTGGCCCAATCTGTGATTCCTCCTGGTCAGAAGAGCTTGAACAAGACCGGCTCTCTCTCCATCTTCAGAATCGAGGTTCCCTCCCATCTCTCTCTCTCTCTCTCTCTCTCTCTCTTATTGTTCCACTTTAAGAAACAAGAGCTGCAGAGACTTGGTTTTATGACAACACAGATGTGTCTTCTGAAAACTTTATTTTATAATTTTCTGAAACAAAAATAGGATTATAATGCGACGGTGGAGTTCTACTGGGCACCGTTCTTGGTGCAGTCGAATTCAGACGATCCAAACATGCACAGCATCCAGAACCGTATAATAATGCCGGAGTCAATACAAAAGCATGGGGTCAACTGGAAAGGCGTTGACTATTTGGTCTTCAACACTTACATCTGGTGGATGAACACTTTCTCCATGAAAGTCCTGTGAGTACAACCCACTCATCTTACCACATATACACACATACGTACTGTCCATATATATATATATATATATGTGCCCCATGACGGTACACATCAAATCCAAAACCCTAAGTCCATAGGTATACATGCATTCGTACACGTGCTTACCTATGTGTGTATATTCACATATATTTTGAATGTGATTTCGTGATATGGTTCGATGGAAACAGACGAGGATCGTTCGATAACGGGGACACGGAGTACGATGAGGTGGCACGGCCGGTGGCGTACGGAAGGGTCCTGAAGACTTGGGGAGAATGGATCGACCAAAACATTGATCCTAACCACACCACTGTCTTCTTCACCAGCATGTCCCCTCTCCATATCAAGTATACGATCATTCTTAATCACAATCATTATAATGATTCATATATATATATATATATATATATATATGTATGTATAAGTTTATCTATGATTCTTCATCTTGCCACTTTACCAAAGCATTTATGGCATGTAACATATATGAAGATTGGCTTACCAAATTATGTTGAAAATGTTTCTGTTTTTTTGTTAGGAGCTTGGATTGGGAGAATCCAGACGGGGTAAAGTGTGCGTTGGAGACGACACCGATACTTAACATGTCCATGCCGTTCAGTGTAGGGACGGACTACAGGCTGTTTGCCGTAGCAAAAAACGTCACACAGTCCCTCAGGATCCCGGTTAATTTCCTCAACATAACGAGGCTGTCTGAATACAGGAAAGATGCTCACACTTCGGTCTACACGATCCGGCAAGGGAAGATGCTGACGCCGGAGCAACAAGCCGATCCGGCCACCTACGCCGACTGCATCCACTGGTGCCTCCCGGGTTTGCCCGATACGTGGAACGAGTTCCTCTACACTCGCATCATTTCGCTCTCGTGACCCCCCCCCCCTCCTCCCAGAAAATTTTTGATGTTTTCGAGTTTCTTTCCTTTTGGAAAAGAACCTTTGTAATGTTCATCATCTTCTTCTTCGGGGGTGGAATTGTGAAATGTTATCATTTTTCTTTACCTTTGATTTCTCATAGAGGGAGAGGGTCCATAGGATGAAATGTTTGAGGGGATTTAACTTCTTTTATCTTTTTCTTTTTTTATTTTGTTTTCGTTATCCATTTCGACTGAGGTGGGAGCCAAAGGATGCCAAAATGTTATGTCAATTTCGGGCAAAAATTTGCCCACATCCACTGTATTGCAAATCTGTGTAGAGATGAATAAACACGACGGTCAAGATGTATTCCTGTCTTCCATTTTTTCTTCTTTTTTTTTTTGGTGAATTGGTCCGTTAGGGATGTCAGTCGGCTCGAGCGGCCCGAGTTTGCACTCGGACTGAAAGTTTCGGGTTCATTTACAGCCCGATTTTTTTCGAACCTATATAATATAACTAAACACAAAGCTTGGTCTTATAGATTTCTGACTCATATTGGATCGGTCGGAACCAGTCCGCTCAAAATCCTTTATAAATTTATTTTGTTTTTTCTTTTTTATTAAATTTTTTTAAAAAAATTATCGGAGTTTTGGACCGGCCCGAATCATATCCGAATCCCGATTTGAACCCGATCAAATTTTTTTTTTTTTTTCGGGCAAAAAAAATTTAGGGCTGAAATCCGTTATTTTTCGAAATGGGTCGGGCCGTTCTTCGGATCTTGAGTCTAAATTGACACCCTAGCTGGTTAGAGTATTAGAGATAGCGGTGAAGAATTATTTCATTTTTAGATACTCGATCGATTCATAGGTCAGATATTTTAAAATTGTATACACGAATAACTTGGATTAGAAATTGAGTTTGTAAATACAAAATATTCGTATAATCACATAATTACAAAAGCTACCATTTATTTTTATTAAAATTATGGAATTACTCCTAGTTTTTCTTAAAATTTACAAAATCAACTTTAAATTTTATGAATTCACAGAAGTACCAAATATTTATTTAAAATTACGAAATTCCCCTTAATTTTTATGTCATAATTCGAATTCGGGTATTCATGATAACAGATCCACATATACGAGATCAAATTTCAAATATAATATCCGATATCATAAAATTTCGGATATTCTTACATATCTCTAATAAGAGAGATATAAACTGGACTGGTTCGAACTAAACCTAAAGAATGATCGAACCGATTGTGACTTGATTTAGGTGTCATGATCTTAGAATGGAACTAAAGCAAACACTATTACTTTAATATATGCATATTATATATATATATATATATATATATATATAATTTGCAATATATTCGGTTTATGAATTTAGAATAGACGTTTTTATAACAAAAAGGAATGAAATTGGTGTGAAGTTAAAAACGTTTTTGAACAGCTTTGTCTCACAATAAAAGCGTTTGAAGATACGTGACAAAACAACTAAGCAACTCCGAGCCTTAACTTAATTAACTACAATTGACCCTTGCAAGGGAAAAAAACAAAACAGGATTGAAGCTTGGAGTATAAAAAAACATGTGTGACTAACTAAGCACATTAACATAACGACAAGAGCAGTTGTGTCATCATATCAACTCCATGATTGCAAAACGCGGGGATTAGTTGTGTGTAATATCATCATTACCTTCTGGTTAACTGACCTGTGACTTGGGTTCCATGTTTAAAAGTTTTCTTGATTGACGATGTTAGTGTTTAGATTCTATGCCCTGTCTCTGATCAAACGAGCCGGGAATGGAAAGAGAAGCATTTACCTTCTTCTGGTGTTCCTCGTTCTTCCCGTCTTCCTTCTCGGATGCTACCTGTACAACGATCATGCGAGGATCGGTCAGTTTCAAGAGATGGATCGACATCGAGACACAGAGCGGAGAGATGCCGATGGAAGGCTCGGACAAAGTGATGCACTCAAACACAACACAAGGTTACCTTTTCAGACAGATGCAGGAAGGGAAGACGAGAAAACATACCCGGTTCCGTTGCAATCCTGCGATGTCTTCACGGGGAAATGGGTTTTCGATGACGTCACACATCCTCTTTACAAAGAAGACGAATGCGGGTTCCTATCCAAGTGGGTGACATGTACGAGAAATGGGAGACCAGACTCGACGTACCAGAAATGGAGATGGCAACCTCGGGATTGTTCTCTGCCAAGGTCAGTTCCTATATATATATATATATATATATTCCACAAGTATAGACAGGACATGGACGAGGAATCTTAATGATTCTTCTCATGATATCCTAGGTTTGAAGGAAAGCCATTGCTGGAAAAACTTAGGGGAAAGAAGCTGATGTTCATTGGTGATTCAATACATTATAACCAGTGGCAGTCCATGGTTTGTATGCTTCAAACCATCCTTCCTATGAGAAAAAGGAGCCTGAGGTACACAGCACAAATGACAGCGCTCTACATTGAGGTTTCTACATTTCCTCTACGCTTAATATAGACAGCCTTCTACATTGAAATATTACGAGACTCGAAAAATCCATTCCCTGCCATTTCTCTACCATTTATGAAAACTGCAGGAGTACAACGCAACCATAGCATTTTACTGGGCTCCTTTCCTAGTGGAATCAAACGCTGACCCTCCAGACAAGAGAGATGGGAAGGTGGAGCCAGCGATCATGATGGAATCGATCTCGAACCACGGTAAGAACTGGAAAGACTCGGACTACCTCGTTTTCAACACGTATATATGGTGGACCAAGCATTCGACGATCAAAGTTCTGTAAGTATCTACATCAAGTTCTGAAAAATCTAGTTGCCAACCCCGGACATGTAAAAACTAGGCTAATCTTGCTTAGTTTCTACCGTAATGCATGAAGAAGAAGACGGGGATCCTTCGGTGAAGGGTCGGAAGAGTATGAAGAAATCGATATGTACATGACGTACGAGAAAGTCCTAAGGACATGGGCAATGTGGCTAGAAGAAAACATCGACCCGAGTCGAACTTCCATTTTCTTCAGCAGCATGTCGCCGACACATCTCAGGTACTTTTATCCATTGCCCGATTCTAGATTGAGGCATGAATAGATTCGATAGCAGAAGCCCTAAGTCGAAACTTCTCACGAGTCTAAAGCCAAAATCAATGGTAATTGTCTTCTTAGTATGATAATTGAAACTACAAGAAGACCAACAAGAGCATAAACCAGGGATAAACCTTACCATAGCAATGGCTTTAAACCCAAATTCAGCAAACCTTTGAATTCAATTCCATTAGAGCATGAAGGTGAATTCAGGCTTAGGTTACAACCCTAATGTCCAAATTCAACATAGGAAGTTAGGAACAAACAGGGAAAGACTACATACCATCTTCTTCTCTCCTCGTCCTTACGATTACTCGAAAATGGAACAGTAGCTCAGACTGGAACATCAATGGTGGAACCAGGTGCGAGAAAGAGACAGAGCCTGTTCTACACACAACACGAACACTGGATGTCGGAACGAATCGGAGGATGTTCGAAATCGCGGAGAACGTGACGAAATCGACGAAATTGCCAATCAAATTCCTCAACATAACGAGACTATCAGAGTACAGGAAAGATGGGCATACCTCGTTTTACGGATCCCCCCGGGGGAAATTGGTATCGCCGGAGCAAACATCGGATCCGGCAACCTTCGCCGACTGTCTTCATTGGTGTCTTCCGGGATTGCCCGACACGTGGAACGAATTGCTCTCTGTGTATATTCTCCACAAGATCTGAATTCCTCTGTTCGACGAGAATCGTTTATCCTCATGAGAGATTCCTCGAATATGAACTATGATTCGCCGAAGATTCCCGACAGCATCTGTACTGCACTGTAATTTTCTCCGCTGTTAATTTTTTTCGTGACCATTTTAAATTACCAGAAAGCTGTAATTGTGAATATTTAGCTCGCCAAATATACGAAAAATACGAATTAGATATTCAGATAAATCGACGGAAACACAGAAGGATAAATCGGATATATAGGAAGGAAATATTTTTTTAATTAATAATGGTCATCATATAGCAAATCCGAGGAAGCAAAAAAAAACATTTTTTTTTTGTGTGGTAATAATAAACCTTTAGGGTTTGACTGAGAATCAAGTACAAATATATAGGTTATTTGCATTTCATTCTACAGTTGACTTCTCCAAATAATTTGGAAGAATGTTTTTCTTTCACATTTTTTTGTTTAGTTTACTGTCCACACCGTTACCATCCGGCTCGAAAGATAAGACGATGCGGGATGCGGATCTTTAGGTCGTAGGGTAGATTCCCACCGTTATAAAAAAAAATAAGTGTAAAAGTACTACAAATATTTTATAAAATGCATTCCATACAGTATCAAGGTGCAGAAACACAGAACCGATGTTTCCTCGTATACATTTCCTCAGATAGATAGAGAGAGAGAGAGAGATAGAGAGAGAGAGAGAGAGAGAGAGAGAGAGAGAGAGAGACGTGTTAATTAGAGAAAAGACAGTACATTAGATTCGTTCAATGCACATTTTATACGGGCTTAGGTCTTGGTATTGAGCTTGGACTCGTCGATCTGGAAGCCCTCGTCCTCCGCGCGTTGGCCGGCAGGCTTGTCCCCCGTGGCGAGACCGCCTTTACGTCCCAATTCCCGGTACCCCTCCTTCCCCAACTGCTCCTTCCTCGTTTGCCCTCCACGGCTCCTCCCTCCACATATATAGCCAAAAACCCCATCAATTGTTTCACCTTTTGTGTATCATTCAATATACATAAACGCATATGCATGCATATATCTCCGTGTGTGCTTGTGTGTGGGAGAGAAGGAAAAGAGATATATACATAGCATATACTTCCTTCACGTACTTACACATATATGTTTGAATAAGGACGAGCAAAACGTTTTCTCTATTCATATAAGGGAAAATGACAAAAACCCACATAGATTGTATCAGATGTGTAAAATTAGTACGTCAATTTTTAATTTGATAAAATCCCCCGCTCGATTTCAAATTTTTTCGTTTTCCATCACCAATTGTTTCTTAGATTTCCAATTAACAACAGAGAGGAAATTAACTGTGCCACATCAGCGTCCGATAACTGATGTGGCGTGACACATCCGAAAAAATACCCATCAGATGACACGTAACCTGCCATGTCAGCAATTCGGATTACTTAAATCGGTTCATTTGATTGCACCGGTTAAATGAAAACCGAAATTTTTTAAAAAAAATTGGGATCTCACTTTCAGAACTTCATATTCTCTCCTGTTCTCTCCTCTCCTCCTCTGTGAGACGATCTCCGGTGAGACGAACGAGCTTCGGTGAGACGAACGAACTCCGGCGTGGCTCCGACTCGTGTCGGTGTTGCTCTGACGTGGGTGGTAGTCGTCTGGTGGTTCGCTTCTGCTTCGGTGGTTCGCTTATGCTAAAGTTTTGCTATTTCGGTGGTTCGCTCGTGCTCCTGCTCCAGTTTCGCTACTTCGGTGATTCGGTCCTGCTCCAATTTCGCTCTTGCTCTCAGTGGTTCACGGTGTTCGTGGTTCTCCTGCTCCTGCTTCAATTTTTTAAAAAAAATTGAAAAGTTAATGTATTTTTTTTGGATTTTGTTTTTATAGTTTCTTTGTATGTAATTTGTTTTCTGTTCTCGGATTCTTTTTTCCATTAACGTACACCCAATTTCCCAAACCCACGTATGAATTTTCAATGGCACGATTCCAACACATTCGATCCGTTCTATTAATTAATTAATTTTATGAGTTTTCTTCTTCTTCTTTGTCAATTTGTTTGAATTTAAAAAATCCTTAATTACGCGTCCTTCGTCGTCACCTCCCCTTTGCATTAATCATGTGTCCATCTGTTGATTTTTTTCTTTGGCGACCATTCTTCTTCCTCTCTCCAGGTGTGTTTCTTTGCTTGACTTTAAAATTTTTAGCTCTCTTTTTCTATTATGAATCTGATTGCCTGAAATTCTATTCAATTGCCGCTTTACGATGCGAAACTCAGAAATGGAACAGGCCACATACGACGCAGGCGAACCAGAGGAAGAGTTTCGGACCACCAGAGAAGAAAAGGAGAGGAGAGGAGAGAGGAATGCCAAATCCTAAATCTTAATTTTTTTTAAAAAAAATCGGTTTTCACTTAACCGGTGCAATCAAATAAACCGGTTTAAATAATTCGAATTGCTGACATAGCAAGTTACGTGTCATCTGACGTGATATTTTTTGGATGTATCATACCATATCAGCTATCGGACGCTGACATATCATAGTTAATTCCTTCTCTGGTGTTAATTGAAAATCTAAAAAACAATCGGTGATGGAAAACGGGAAAATTTGAAATCGAGTGAGAGATTTTGTCAAATTAAAAAATTGATGTACTAATCTTATACATTTGATACAATCTATGTGGGTTTTTGCCATTTTCCCTTCATATAATGTTCGACTCATGCTTGACCGCACGTATGTTCATTCGTGGGCACACGCACTACGTTAGTAACAAAACGGCATACACGTTGCGGATGCGCATGTGTGTATTATATATATATACACGCACACACACACAATACATGCGTATTCATAAGAGTAAAATCATATTTGTTTTCGCTTTTCGCTTTGTTGCCCCCATTTCTGCGTTGAGAACGAGATGTGTGACATCAAGCTAATCTATAACATTAAGCTACGTATATATCCGAATGATATTATATATATGTATATAGAGAGAGAGAGAGACCTTGGGCGAGAAGCTCCTGAGCTTGGAGGCTTTTCCCGCCGGTGCCACCAGGGACGACGGTCTCTCCCTTCCTCGCCCTCTCGTCGAGCTCTTCCCTCTCCTGTTGAGCTGCCATCTCTCTCTCTTCCCCAACTCACCAAATCTCTTCTTCTCCCGATTTATACTTGTGTATATGTATCTATATGTAATGACGATGACGAAGCTTTATATATATAGCCGAAGGATATGGATTAGGGGCACGTCCGAGTTTTTGGAGGTGCTTTGCTTGGGTCGCCACGTGGATGTCCGATGTGGCAGAAACAGGGAGATCGGACATGTCATTGCGTCTGTTGTTGGGGCTCTGGAGAACGCCACGTGTCCAATCGAATTCGCTGACGTATATTTGGAAGCTCCTTGGTTGTCCAACGCGTGGACCGTATGTCACCGAGATTGTCCGTACCTTATATTTCCCTCTTCCTTTTCGCTCTGCTGCTGGATATCTATACCGATCTGATTTTCGCCGCACGAGAGGGTGTTTTGACGATATAAGCCTTACCATAATTTTTTCTCAAACATTTTGCTTCATGATTTCTCATCACGTGTTATACACTATAGTTTCATTATTACGCCATAGTTACTTAAATGTTGATACATATTACATACACACAATTCCATGTAGAATGCACCGAATGTCTTTGTGTATGATTTATTTTCTGGCTGTTGAAAATGTAAATAATGTGAATAAAAATGAATTATTTAAGAGAAAATAGTATTTAAATACCTAAAATTTTATAAAAAATTCTAAATAAATATTCGAATTATAAAACTTTTATATATAAATATCCATTTTTTTAAATTTTAAAAAAAATACCTAAAATTTTTAATTTCTTTAAATAAATTCAAAATTTCTTAAATAACTATTTTTATTTGGAAAATATCTAAATATTTTATTTAAATTTTTTAAAAAATCTAAATATTTGTATAGGCGTTTTAAAAAATTTAGTTATTTATCTAATATTTTATATTTTAATATTTATATGAAATTTTTATAAAAATTTAGATATTTATATATGATTTTCCTATTTATCTGTTTCAAAATAATATTCTGAAAAAGAACCCAATTTTAGCTAAAATTTCTACAATTTCTCCTTTTAATGAAGGCTCAATTACTTATTTGGGCCGAGTCGAAGAAATATAAGCCCATTTTGAAAACTATCAAAGCCCATATATCTTAATTTAGCGATTTCCATTAGACTGCTGGCTTCCTCTGTCGTCGAATTCATTTTGCAAAATCTCGCCCATTTCTTCTCTTTTGCAGGGACAAATCGCTGCTTCAGATCTCGCAGCGACTGGGGAATTCTCTTATCTTCTTCTTCTTCCTCGTCCCTCTCCCTTTTTCCGTCATTTCTCTCATCTTAGATCTGATTCCGGCTCGTGATTATCTGATCTTGGTACCGTTTTCTCGGTGTCACCATGGCTGCCGCCAACGCTCCGATCGCCATGAAAGAGATCCTAACGGTAAGCTTCTTATCCTTCTTCATCATCTCTTTGATTTCCTCCGTTTTTCGCGCTCCTGAATGAATATCTGGCTATGGAATCGAGCTTGGATAGGACAAGATTGATAAATCACTTAGGCATTCTGATGTTTGAAGATTTACGCAGTTCGAAAACCTCTTGCTAGTTTAGGATCGCCTTCGCTATGTACAGCGCGAGCGACGAGCGATTGATCATTTCGGGGTGATAATTTTCCGGATCTGGAAATTTCAGATCTGCGTAGAATAAGATTGTACTTCAGTTTGTGTTTAGTGCTTTTATGTAGTGGAGACGGTTTCTTTGATCTAGGATTCTCGAGGAATTTAGTGAGTCGACTTTTTGTGATCTGTGCGGTTTTGCAGCTTCCGAGCATTGGGATCAACCAGCAATTTATCACGTTTACAAATGTCACCATGGAATCGGATAAGTACATTTGTGTGAGGGAAACGGCTCCGCAGAACAGTGTAGTGATCATTGACATGAATATGCCGATGCAGCCCCTGAGGAGGCCTATCACTGCAGATTCGGCTCTTATGAATCCCAACTCAAGGATCCTTGCACTGAAAGGTAGGGTATGAGATAGAGTTTCAGGTCGCTGATAGTTGTTCAGGAGCTCTCATCTTGACCTCTCATTTCTCTAAACTAATTCTCTATGCTGTCTGTTCCGAGAGACTAATACTGAAATTGGATCCAGACCCAGTCTGTGTTACATGTATGAATCTAGAAGCTGTAGCATTGGCCCCGTTGAATAGCCTCACACCATTCAATAATACATGCTGTTGTTTTGATGGACTTGGCATTTCACATAAACTGTAGTGAATACTGATTCATTTTTCATTTATTTTCTGTCCTAGAATGGTTTGGGATGTGTGTGTGTGTAGATAAATTTAAACTGGATATATTTGTTGAATCTTGAATTTCCTCCATTGCTTATTTCAATTTTAGCAGTTCTAGGAAATGCAGGGTTCTGGCTGGTTGAATCATTTCACATAAATAAATTTAAATAGAATTGCATTAAGTGATTTTTAATTCTGTATGAATCAGGTCTTTTGGGATAGTGACGATACAGATAAAGAACATTTTACAGTTAATAAATTCAATGTTAATTTTGGTTCTTTGACTATTCTTTGTGCTCTGTTTGCGGCAAAGGTAAAGGTATTGAAGATCTTGTATTAAATAACAGAGCTGTGGATTTTGTTCTCTTGTCATCTTTTGTGCATGTTTTGCAGAAAAAATTGTTGTTCCTTATTCTGTTTATTTGCAGTTTGCATGAGGGAGAAACTTTCGCATAGACAATGACAGTTTTTTTTGTTATTATGTGTAGCTTCCTTATCTACAATCTCATTTATGCTTATATTTATATTTTTCGTTTCTTTAAAGCTCAACTTCAGGGTACCACTCAGGATCATCTACAGATCTTCAACATTGAGGCAAAAACAAAAATCAAATCACATCAGATGCCGGAGCAGGTGGGATCTGACTATTTGCCTAGTGATGATAGTTTATGTGTTACATGTTGATTAAATTTGTGCCTTTTTTCATTCATTCTAGGTTGTCTTCTGGAAGTGGATTACCCCAAAGATGTTGGGTTTGGTCACACAAACGTCTGTTTATCATTGGTCAATTGAGGGTATGTCTTATTTCTATCTCAAATAGGCACCTAGAGGTTTCTTTTCATGTTAGATCCTGGTTTCAGGTTTTAATTTGATAACTTGTGCTCAGGTGATTCTGCCCCAGTTAAAGTGTTTGATAGGACAGCAAACTTGGCAAACAATCAGATAATAAACTATAAATGTGATCCCTCAGAAAAGTGGTTAGTCTTGATAGGCATTGCCCCTGGTTCACCTGAGGTAATTAACTTTTTCATTCAGTTATGTCATACTGGTATTTTACATAATTATGAAAGTTGTGTTATCGTGTTTGTTCCTTTAATCTTCTTCACTATTCCAACTGTTTGGGTTTCTAACTTAGGAAGATTTCCCATATTCCTGTAGAGACCGCAACTGGTGAAAGGGAACATGCAGCTTTTTTCTGTGGATCAACAGCGCAGTCAAGCCCTTGAAGCACATGCTGCATCTTTTGCTCAATTTAAGGTTTGGGGAAGTCCGTATATACTAAATTTCTTGCTTTCTGGTTTTATATGTGAACACCACGCTAAATGGAGTACAAAATTCTCCTTGTACTGGTTGAGCAGGTCCCAGGGAACGACAATCCTTCTACTCTTATTTCCTTTGCGACCAAGAGTGTTAATGCTGGGCAGATCACATCTAAGCTGCATGTGATTGAGCTTGGTGCTCAACCAGGTTCTGGCTTTTCTGCCATCCCTCACCTGCTCTCTTGGAAATCATTTGTCAAATTTATTAGAATTGGAAATTTTCTGTTGTGTGTTTGTAAATAACCTCGTGATACACCAACATGTAGAACTAGTGTTCCTTGTGTTGTGTCCGATAGAAAACATATGTCTAATCGAGTTCTATTAAAATTAATCTCTTGCTCTTGCATAATCATGACATATGGCCTGATATTGGTTTCAGGGAAACCATCTTTTACCAAGAAACAAGCCGATCTCTTTTTCCCTCCGGATTTTCAAGACGATTTTCCAGTGGCTATGCAGGTTTTGTAACTCATGAGTCATGTTTGGTCCCCTTTGTTATATTCTGTCTCGATGACATAATTCATGAAGTTCATGCGTTGTGTGGCAGATTTCTCACAAATATGGTTTGATATATGCCATCACCAAGCTTGGGCTACTATTTGTTTATGATCTAGAGACAGCTACTGCTGTGTACAGAAATCGTATAAGTCCAGATCCAATATTCTTAACTGCTGAAGCCTCGGCAGTTGGGGGTTTCTATGCAATAAATAGGAGAGGGCAAGTCCTCATGGGTACTGTAAATGAAGCTACTGTTGTGCCTTTTGTTAGTGGCCAGGTGAGTTTTAATTGTATTTTCTTCTTCTGGTAGAAGTGTCAAGTCAACCCTGTTAGTTTTACTCTGTTTCCAATATGTGATAGCTGAACAATTTAGAGCTTGCTGTCAATCTTGCGAAAAGAGGAAACCTTCCTGGAGCTGAAAATCTGGTAAGTATATGCGGATTCTTTTATTTGTTTGAGTATATCATAAAACATAGATTAGTCAGTGTTATTGGTTTCCTTGGAGGAGCAGGTTATATGGCTGTGGTTCTTTTCTATGATCTTATATAATGTCGAACATGAGAACACGGCCTGGCAGGATATATCAGGACTTAACAAAAAATGTAGATAATTTTTTCCTGATAAACCTTTCACGGAATGAAATTCGATGAAAAAAAGGTTATGTTGATAAGAAACTAAAAGCTGATAGATATGTTCTTCAATATTGAAGATGTTGTTTTCTGAATATGCTTTTGGTAAAACCAGCCACTGTTACAAAAGTGTGCCTTGTTCTCATGTTAATGCTAGAGCTGGATTTTCTTCATTGCTTCCATGCTTCTGGTATCATTGTTACATGCATGCATGCCTGAAAGTTGTTTTTTGGCTTTCTTACAGTGCTTGGAAAGACACAAGCTTCTTTCTTTGATACCTTTCAATAATCTTTGGCTTGTGATTCTTAGGTTGTTCAACGTTTCCAAGAGCTATTTGCTCAAACAAAGTATAAGGAGGCTGCTGAACTTGCTGCAGAATCCCCACAGGGAATACTCCGGACACCTGATACAGTTGCTAAATTTCAGGTTTTCCCTGTTTCCATAGTGATATTGATAGTGTCTGTTTTCTTCTTTCAGTGCTTGAAGGATTTACACGATTCTTATTTGAACTAACTGCTCAAAACTTATGTTTTGCAGAGTGTTCCTGTTCAAGCTGGGCAAACCCCTCCACTGCTGCAGTACTTTGGCACGCTTTTGACTAGAGGAAAGCTTAATGCTTATGAGTCTCTGGAGCTTTCTCGACTGGTTGTGAATCAGAATAAAAAGAATCTTCTGGAGAATTGGTTGGCAGAGGACAAGTTGGAGTGCAGTGAGGAGCTTGGAGACCTTGTGAAGGTTTGACTTTGAGATAGAACAAAATTGTGTAGAATTGTCTTTGAACTTCTGTATTTATGGTGATTGGTTTGCATTTCAGACCGTGGACAATGATCTTGCTCTGAAAATATACATCAAAGCCAGGGCGACCCCAAAAGTAGTTGCTGCCTTTGCTGAGAGGAGGGAATTTGACAAAATATTAATCTACTCGAAGCAGGTCAATTTGGTGTACTCTCTACTGTTGCAGCATGTTCTGTGGTTTTTAAGATACTGATGTTGTTGTTGGTATAGGTTGGGTACACTCCTGATTATCTCTTTCTCCTGCAAACCATCCTTCGCACAGATCCTCAGGTCAGTGGAATTAATTTTTGTGGTTACAGCACTCTTGGGAATCCATATGTTGTCCTACCAAAGAAAGTAAAAAGAAAGAACTAGTATATGAAGCATTATATAATTCGGTTCCATTACTAGTACCTAAAGATTGGCTGCTATTATATCTGATTGCCTTGAGATTTTGTGAAAATATCCTGCTTCTTGCAACAATGAATTGCAGGGAGCGGTGAACTTTGCTTTAATGATGTCTCAAATGGAGGGAGGATGCCCAGTAGATTATAATACCATCACAGATCTCTTCCTTCAGGTACTTCTGTTGAAGCGGTGAAAATTTCTTGAGAGAGAAGGCTGTGTTAACCACTTAATCAGGTTCCACTTGCCCTGTTTTGATCTTTCTTTTTGCAGAGAAATTTGATTAGAGAAGCAACGGCATTTTTATTGGATGTTTTGAAGCCGAATCTACCTGAGCATGCATTTCTTCAGACAAAGGTAAAATAAGATCCTTTTAACTACTTCCATGGGCCTGCGTAACAGTATTTTCCCTATTAATATCTCACAGTATTTCATTCCTTTCTCGTCAGGTGCTTGAGATCAATTTGGTAACTTTTCCGAATGTGGCTGATGCTATTCTTGCGAATGGGATGTTCAGTCACTATGATCGTCCACGTATTGCTCAGCTCTGTGAAAAAGCTGGACTTTTCATTCAAGCTCTGAAGGTAGTAATGCACATTAAATCTATCTCGTCGTTGGAGTGTTGCGTATATTTTCTCACTTATTTTCTGAACGTTCCGATCCACTTCTAATTTTTACCTATCCTTCCCTGCAGCATTACACAGAGTTGCCGGACATCAAGCGTGTTATTGTTAATACCCATGCAATTGAACCACAGGTATGTTCCTGGTGCTTGGATTAGATATTGGATAAGCCAGAGGTTATGGATGATTGATTTGTATTTTCATACAGGCTCTTGTGGAGTTCTTTGGTACCTTATCTCGTGAATGGGCTCTGGAGTGTATGAAGGACCTTTTGCTGGTCAATCTCAGAGGGAACCTTCAGATAATCGTGCAGGTACATAACATACCATATCTTATTCTGTAACAAATTTATGACCCTGATTGAAACTGATGGGTACATTCTCTCTGTAGACTTGCAAAGAATACTGTGAGCAATTGGGTGTGGATTCATGTATTAAAATCTTCGAGCAATTCAAGTCATATGAAGGGCTGTACTTTTTCCTGGGTTCATATCTCAGTATGAGGTACTTTCAAACGAACTTATGACAGAATTCTATGATGCTAACATATGCCCTTACAAGTATGTTATTTCCTTTTTATGGGGCAGTGAGGATCCTGAGATTCACTTTAAGTACATTGAGGCTGCTGCGAAAACTGGCCAAATAAAGGAAGTGGAGCGTGTGACAAGAGAGTCCAATTTCTATGACGCTGAAAAGACAAAGAACTTTCTGATGGAAGCTAAACTCCCTGATGCTCGCCCCCTTATCAATGTTTGTGATCGTTTTGGGTTTGTCCCAGATCTCACACATTACCTGTACACAAACAACATGCTTCGATATATCGAAGGTTATGTGCAGAAGGTACAGGATCTACCAACAGTCACAATATGTATCTCATATGCCAAACATTCATTTCTCACATGTCTCTTTCTAGGTAAATCCTGGCAATGCCCCCTTGGTGGTGGGACAACTGCTAGATGATGAGTGTCCAGAGGATTTCATCAAAGGCCTCATTCTCTCTGTTCGTTCTTTGCTTCCAGTCGAGCCCCTCGTCGAGGAGTGTGAGAAGAGGTATGTTGTACATGGAACTTTCCTGTTTCTTTCTCTTCCTTGACTTCGTCTCTGCAAGTCTAATTTTCAAACATTGTGTTTCAGAAACCGACTTCGTCTGCTCACACAGTTCCTGGAGCATCTAGTTAGTGAGGGAAGTCAGGATGTACATGTCCACAATGCCCTTGGTAAAATTATCATCGACAGCAACAACAATCCCGAGCACTTCCTGACGACAAACCCTTATTATGACTCCCGAGTTGTTGGTAAGTATTGTGAGAAACGGGATCCTACCCTCGCAGTTGTGGCTTACCGAAGAGGACAGTGTGATGATGAACTCATCAATGTCACAAACAAGAACTCCTTGTTTAAATTACAAGCTAGGTATGCAACATTTTTGTCATGTGATATTTCTGTTTGTACAAAATTCATTTTGCTGCTGCTTTTTTACACCCGAATTCTATGGTTACAGATACGTCGTTGAAAGGATGGATGGTGATCTGTGGGACAAGGTTCTTAATCCTGAAAATGAATATAGAAGACAGCTTATTGATCAGGTTGTGTCAACTGCATTACCAGAAAGCAAGAGCCCAGAGCAAGTCTCTGCTGCTGTTAAAGCTTTTATGACTGCTGATCTACCCCATGAGCTGATTGAACTTCTAGAGAAGATTGTGCTTCAGAACTCGGCTTTTAGTGGAAATTCCAATCTTCAAAACCTGCTCATCTTGACAGCTATCAAGGCAGATCCGTCGAGAGTCATGGATTATGTCAACAGATTGGATAACTTCGATGGACCTGCTGTTGGGGAAGTGGCTGTTGAAGCTCAACTGTATGAAGAAGGATATGCTATTTTCAAGAAATTTAATTTGAATGTTCAGGCTGTTAATGTGTTATTGGATAACATTAGAAGTATCGAGCGGGCTGTTGAGTTTGCGTTCCGTGTTGAAGAGGATGCAGTTTGGAGTCAGGTTGCCAAGGCTCAACTTAGAGAAGGACTTGTCAGCGATGCGATCGAGTCATTCATTCGTGCAGATGATGCCACACAATTCCTCGAAGTTATCCGTGCTGCTGAGGATGGTGATGTTTATGATGACTTGGTCAAATACCTTCTTATGGTTAGGCAGAGGGTGAAGGAGCCCAAGGTTGACAGTGAACTGATATATGCATATGCGAAGATTGACAGATTGGGTGAGATTGAAGAATTCATCCTGATGCCGAATGTGGCTAATCTGCAAAGCGTCGGCGATCGCTTATACGACGAAGCCCTGTATGAGGCTGCTAAGATCATTTATGCGTTCATATCTAACTGGGCCAAGTTAGCTGTCACGCTTGTGAAGTTGCAACAGTTTCAAGGTGCTGTTGATGCAGCACGGAAAGCTAACAGTGCAAAGACGTGGAAAGAAGTTTGCTTTGCTTGTGTCGATGCCGAGGAATTCCGATTGGCACAAATTTGTGGGCTTAACATTATCATACAGGTAATTTATTGATTCTCTACAACTGTATTTCTGTAAATATTTGTACTTCAAATTATTTTTCTATTCATGCTTTACACCAGTGTCAGAGAATTCAACCTACTGTCTTCATGTTTTTGCAACTATTAGGTTGATGACTTGGAAGAAGTCAGTGAGTACTACCAGAACCGGGGATGTTTCAATGAATTGATCTCTCTCATGGAGAGCGGTCTAGGGTTGGAACGTGCCCACATGGGCATATTTACCGAGTTGGGAGTTCTTTACGCTAGATATCGTCCGGAGAAGCTGATGGAGCATATCAAGCTGTTTTCAACCAGGCTTAACATTCCCAAGCTTATCCGAGCTTGTGATGAGCAACAGCACTGGCAAGAGCTGGTCTATTTATACATCCAGTACGATGAATTCGACAATGCTGCGACCACTGTAATGAATCACTCCCCTGAAGCTTGGGATCACATGCAGTTCAAGGATATAGTCGCCAAAGTCGCAAACGTGGAGCTTTACTACAAAGCTGTACACTTCTACTTGCAAGAACACCCGGACATCATTAACGATCTTCTCAATGTCCTCGCCCTAAGATTGGATCACACACGTGTTGTCGACATTATGCGCAAGGTTCGAGACAACTTTACCATTCTCATTTGCAAGTTTTCGGACCATTGGCTCTGAATCTGAGGAATAGCTTCTCTATTGTGCAGGCTGGTCATCTTCGCCTCATCAAGCCCTACATGATTGCCGTCCAGAGCAACAATGTTTCTGCTGTGAACGAGGCTTTGAACGAGATCTATGTAGAGGAGGAAGACTACGAGAGGTTGCGTGAATCGACTGATTTGCACGACAGCTTTGACCAGATAGGTCTTGCACAGAAGGTGGGTTATATTTATTTGCCTTATTCAAGCATATTTGCATTTAGCCACTTGTTTCCTGAGCCATTTGCTTTTTGTATCACATGACCAAAGATTGAGAAGCATGAGCTACTCGAGATGAGACGTGTAGCTGCTTACATCTATAAGAAGGCTGGCAGATGGAAGCAGTCCATTGCATTGTCGAAGAAAGATAACCTCTACAAGGACTGTATGGAGACTGCTTCTCAATCCGGTGACCGTGAACTGGCAGAGGAATTACTTGTTTATTTCATTGAACAGGTAACTCATTTTCTCACCAATCGAGCCCAATCATTTAGTGTTTGAATTTCAAAAAAAAAAAAAAATACGAAGACACATGAAAGAGATTTACCTGTATTGATAAATCTTACCTACCTTGTTTACTAGCGTATTATTATTCACCATAGTAGCGTTGTTTTTGTGCTTGTAACAGGGGAAGAAGGAATGCTTTGCAGCGTGTCTGTTTGTATGTTATGACTTGATCCGGCCGGATGTCGCTCTCGAGCTTGCCTGGATCAATAACATGATCGACTTTTCTTTCCCCTACCTCTTGCAGGTAATTCATCCATTTACTTAATATCTTTTCGAAAGAAACTGCTCATGGCATCCTTTGTGATTTTCAACCTAACATTTGCTCTGTTGTGCCAGTTTATCCGTGAGATCACAGGGAAAGTCGATGAACTCATCAAGGACAAGATCGAAGCTCAGAAGGAAGTTAAGGTTAAAGAGCAGGAAGAGAAAGACGTCATTGCCCAGCAGGTAAAAACAACTAGCGATTTCACAGAGCCAGCTGCTTCCCAAAAACCATTTCAATCATTGTTACTGCGACTAAATATTTGATGAACGGTCGTGCAGAACATGTATGCACAGTTACTGCCGCTCGCTTTGCCCGCACCACCAATGCCAGGAATGGCTGGAGGCTTCTCTGCCGGACCGCCGCCTCCCATGGGAGGAATGCCCGGAATGCCTCCTATGCCACCCTTTGGAAT